TTGGCGTAGATCTACTACTTGTAGTTTTCGAGATCAGACTACGACCTCACCTACTTGCGATACTGCTCCACATTAGTCATTAGACATTACTGTATCCAGGATCAAGTCAAGAGTGCTCAGTAGTAGTATCCTCTAGCTCTACCAAACTCCAGTACCCCAACTGGCCCTGACGCACAAGAACAAGCGTAGGTCTACACGACCAAGTCCTGCCTAGTACTACAATGTGCGGAACTAGCGATTTTGGAAAGATGGTCTCCTCTTCAGGTGCCACTGACTCTGTCCATGGTGACTGGGGCCAGTGGGGGAGCGCTCAGACTGTTGCGTCGTTGGACTCTCTGGTCTGTACTTACTATTTTTCTGTATGCACGTACATGTATTGCACAATGCAGTTTAGCGCCTCTCACCGGCCAGGGCGCACGGATGTATACGGGGTACTACATGTAGTATATCACTTTATGCATGTGGGTATGCCGTAAACATGCAGGGCAGGTATGTTTTGTATAATATTCATGAGCTAGGAGAGCCATTGTATGCATGCTGAACACCGGTCCCCCCCCCCCCCCCCTCCAGCTACTGCATGCATTGGAGATCGCAAGACTCATGATGTCATCATTAGATTCATACCCCTTCATGCCCTCCCCACCAATCCTCCCATGGGAAATTCCCCGGAAATGAAATCCTCCAGGATTGCCAGTAAAACCTCAGCTCAAATCATGCAGATACTGATTTTTGGATAGTGATCGAGCTACCGGTTCTGCAGAAGGCAATCCCAAAGGATCTCACATCTGATCACACCAGTCAGCAGGCAACAGCAGACACAACATTGTGGCATACAGTGGCCAGCAGAACAAACTGCAACCGAATCAATAGCAGCACAGCTCACAAGAAGACGTCGTCGCAACGAAACCCTTCCCATCCCGGGGTGACAGGTGTTCTGTTCGAGCCCGTAACCCAAAAGAGAAAAAAAGAAATGATAACGGACGGGAGTGGGTTGGTTGCTGGTGATGACAAGCTTGGTTGGTCCTTGACTCGGCGGCATCGGCCGGGTGACCAGTGCAGTTGCATTGACATTCCTCCGTGGGTAAATTCAGTACTTGCGCCCTGAAGGAAGAGAATGGCATGAAAGGTCGACAGCGGCGACAGAGGCATACGGGTAACAGCAACGATGCATGCACAGTGCACTGAGCATGGTCTATTGGTACACACTATCTAGACACAATACACCCAGTCACTATCTCGTATTATTTCGGCAACAATGCATGCACATTGTGTGCAGTGGACCAGTGTCTGCTCCAGCGCCGGGTGAGCCGGGTAATCCACCCGGTTGGGCGGCGCTTGAACCCGGTTGAAAATATAGTACCGGGTCACCTGTGACCCGGTTGGTACTTTACACTTTCGACTACATGGCGTGTATGTGTCAGACTCCAGTACACGGCTGTCCCATGCATGCGACGCGCGTTCATTCAATATGGCGGCCAAATTTTAATCTTTTTCATTTTTTACGCGACCTGGCCTAGTCGTATGTTTGCAATTTCGCTCGACTTCCATCTCAAACGGGCAAGGTCAACCGAAACCACGGGTGTTTGCCAGGTCATTCGATAGAGTTTAGAGCTTGGACTGGCCTTGCCTGCGACTGTGCCGCCGCTCGAGCGATCTTCTTGGGTTACCCACGCGCTACGCATGGTTTCTTTCTCGACGTGGGTGCAATTATTTTTCCGTGCGGTAAACCGCATGAAAGGACGCCATGTCATTAGTTGGTGCACATGAAGTCACCGTGAGTACTTCTTCTTCTTTCGTAATTTTCTAATTCCTGTCCTCTCTTTTCTAAATGCGGCTTATCCATTCGCCTTTATATCATTGGCCTACATTATAGTTCCCGTTTATTGTCCGAATTAAAATAAACCAACCAACCAGTTATGGAGTTGACTCGGCTGGTGAGACAGCGCCAGGTACATGTGTATCCGGCTCCAACCCGGTTGAAATGGTTGCGCCAGGTACACGTGTACCCGGCTGTCCTACAATCCTAGAGCAGACACTGGTGGACATACGAATCTTCCAACTTTCTAGCCCATGCACTTAGCTACTATCTCATTCCGATTTCGGAGTCAATGCTGTACTGAAGATACGCGTTGTGGCAGTCTATCAGAGGAAGTGGGAAACAATTGAGCGCTGCAAATCTTTGTGCGATCCCAACGGAAATGCAATGTAAGAATTGTTCACAATATTCCGACCGTTGTGTAGTCTGAAAACCTATGGAGCAGGGGAGGGTTCTATGATACTGGCCAAGAATTGTGTTGGAGGCGTGCAAAGATATCACAGTGCAGAGTAGATAAATAGTTACCTTGCATAGGGCAGACGCTGCCACCACGTCCTCCTGTCCGGTTGGCGCTTGACCTGAGCTGGGCAGTAGAATCACACAGCAGACAGAACACACACCAGCCCATGAACCTGCACTACAGTACAACGAGATTCACCCTAGCTACTCACCCACCCGAATACATGCAACAACCGGGGCTGCACCAACCACAATAATAATAGATATCATGCATGAGAAAGCTGCAGAGAACATTGCAGGCATGCAAGGTGTGCCCCTTGCAAAGCTATCCCCGGGGTGGACAATGCATGCACTACATGGACAAAGCATGCACTACATAGGACATCAGTCCTGACATGCAGAGCGGGTCCTGCTGTAAATGGGACAAACAATTCTCTGCAGTGATTTGAAAAATTCATGCACAGCACATGGGTACTTAGACTGTTCCTAGGCGATGTCCCGCCGTGATGCTGCTTGCCAGCCGTCCATCTGGACCAGTCGTGGTGCTTAGCCGTTGACGAACCTGGACTAAAGATAAGCATAGCAAACAGAACTATTAGACGACAAAACAATGTATGGATTTGAAAGGCATGCATGTGCATGGATGATGTGTTGACATGCACTCTAATAGTTATCTTCCCCTCCCCATTCCTGAAGTAGACATGCTGACTGTTCACGGTCTGGAAGTGCTTTGTTGGTTTGCTGGGCTATTTCCAACTCATGTCAGGTTGAGAAAATCGTGAAACAGTAAGGATAACTTTCAAGGTGCAGGAAAGAAACAAGGATGCAATCACAGTCAAAATTCTTGCTGCATACTAAAAATCAGAAGTATTCGCAATATTTCAAGATTGATAATTTCATGCAGAGTGCGCAGTCTGAATGCCTGGAAGATTTTTATCTTCAGCCCGTTGGAATGAGGAGAGGAAGTTGATCCATGCATATAACGCTATACTAAACAACAGCACATGGATACTTAGGGTTTTTGGGTGGCCGGGTCCCTGGTGCTTGCTCCACCGCGCTGTGGCGTCCCTGAAAAAAATAAATAAACAAAAACTGAGATTAATGCCAAGAGACAAACCATATTGATGCATGAGACAACTTCAAGCCATAACAAATAAATCCGCCAACAGAACAAATTGCCACTGTCCTAGGGAGGTTTGTAGAATGAAAAAGTCAAGGTTCACATGAGGCCCAGTCATATCTAGCTTCATCTTTCATAGCAAATCAACCATCCCAATGTATCAGGGCCAAGTGAGATGCAGCTCCTGAAGGCGTGGTGGGATGTGTGTAGATCAGACCTAACACAAATTGGTCAAAAGTCCGAAAACCACTGCCAATGCTGTATCACCTTCTATGATGTAGGACATCGGATCAAAAATGTGCATGGGCTCACTGCCTGATTGCAAATTCAACAGGCATTCTTTTCCAAGTACACATCCATTCTTACTCTGATAGCGGACATGATACCTTAGACAGGTATTTACCACTATCATGATACCACACTAAGTACCGGCCGCACTGGAAATAACGTCGATCTCCATCTCAGAATAACAACACAGTTGCTACATGTTCCGTGCTATTTCGGTCGAGTACTAGTAGCTCCTGAAAATGAAGACAGCTCAAGGAATGCAAATTGTGCAGTCAACGCAAGAGATTTATTTTACTTTCGGCGGATATCATGCCATTGCTGACATGATAACCAGTGCCGAGTCAAGGACATAACCAAGCCTGTCATCACCAGCAACACCCCCCCCCCCCATATTTCCCCCGGGCCGAACAGAACACCTGTCATTTTAGGGCAACCCTGGTCACGGTAAATTTCCCACCCGAAATTATGTAGCAGGTCACTGGGTAAAATGAGGGCAAATAATAATAGTACGGCCGTGTGTCCTGCAGATGGAGCATGGCAAAACAAACAGCATATGCCAAACACATGCACACTCTCCCACCAGCTGCATCCACAAACGCAAACAACCGCATGCACCAAAGAACAAAGAACCTACACCATTATGAGGGAGAGAGAGAGGCCGCAGTGGGAAGGAAAAATCATGCCAGCAATTCTTGAATCGAGCACATCACAGATGTGACTGGAGAGAAAGTGAACTCGCCAAATACAGGTGAAAGCACCCGAAATCCTGACTGAAAGTTCAATAGGGAAGCAGACTCATAATATACACCCACATCTCTCTTATCCGGGCCTCCAGATTATGGGCACCTCGGTCGACCGGGCACCCTGTGGGTGAGTTTTTGAATTTAGTCAATGTAAGTATTTAGCTGTAAAGCCTTTCCATCGAAATCACCCGAGGTTTTATCCATGCACAGAACATAAGCAATGGGTAATCATTCTAATCACGGAGCATGCCAAGAACATTTTGCGTATGAACATGCAGCCGACAGAATGGGGTTGTTCCTTGTTAGGCCTGGCGTAAGGAGAGAGGGCCATGTTTTCGCTTCTGTTGTGGTCCCGTTGTTGTACCCGATCCGTTCTGGGATCGGTTACCCATATGCATTCCCGTACTGTGTACATATATGGATCCTGGTTGTGCATCTTTATCTTTCCTTGTTCTATGTAAATAAACTTTAGTTGTTGTCTGGGACTTGTGGAGTGAAGTTGATCTATGGAGTGCAGGAACTAACTTGATGTTCACTCAGGAACATTACATGGTGTCAGAAGTAGCAGGTGGTCATGTCGTCTGCCAAATTTCCTGTACCTGCCCCGTTCGATTTCTCCACCCCAGAAGCATGGCCACTCTGGAAGACCCGTTTTGAACGCTTCAGTTCTTTGTCCAAACTGGACGAGGCGGACGGGCAACGCCAAGTAGACACTTTAGTTTACTCCATGGGAGCCAAAGCCGATCCTATCTTTGAGTCTCTATCTCTGTCCGCGGATGATAAGAAGAAACTCGACAAGGTACTGGAGGCCTTTGACAAGTATTTTCGCCCGGGTGTAAACGTAATCCATCAACGGACATTGTTTGAAAGGTGTGTCCAGAACCCAGGTGAATCCGTGGAAGAGTATGTGCGTCGTCTCCGTGCTGCAGCCAAATATTGCGCGTTTGACAAGTCAGATGAGCGTATCCGCGACAGGTTGGTGGCCCATATGACGAACCGAGAAGTTTCGAAGAAGCTACAGCTCGAGGATCACGCTCAGCTGACACTCGAGACTGCCGTGAGCTTGGCACGCAAAACGGAGTCCGTAAACGCCGAGGTCGCCCAGCAAACGCCCCGGGTGAGCCAAGCTGCTGCAGCTACCTCACCGCAACGGAAACACGGCAAGTCCCCTGCTTACGCAAGTTACGGATCGACGGGAAAGCGACCACAGGTCAAGTCCCAACGAGACTCGAGCAACAGTAAGAAGTGCTCGTGGTGTGGCTCCTCCAAAGACCACAAATCGAACCGTGACGAATGCCCTGCCAAGGACAAGTCTTGTAACAAGTGTCGTAAGTCTGGACACTTCGCCAGCGTCTGCCGGTCTGCCTCCGCCAGTGCAGCACACAACGATTATGTGCATGTAGCTGAGTTTGACTTGCAGTCGGACCCCGTCGGCGAAAATTTCCTTGGAGCTGCTTCTACCCACACCGCTGACGAGCCGTGGATAGTACGACTGGATCTGTGCGGCTCACACCTCGATTTCAAAATCGACACTGGAGCTGATCTCAACATTATGACGCAGGCCAGCTACAACGCTTTATCTGCACCGCCAGTACTCAGTCCGTGCCAGACACGTATGATTGGGCCTGATGGGAACCAGCTCACGATACAGGGTGAGTTCCACACTTGTGCTGTGTTCCGTGATGTACAGTACCCAGTCACTATCCTGGTCATTGCCACTGGTGGTGTCAACTTGCTGAGCAGGCAGACATCTGAACAGATGGGCCTAGTACAACGTCTTCATGTTGGCTCTTCAGATGCCCAGCCGAAAATCGGATGCATGCTAGGCAAGCCAGTCGAGATTGAGTTGAAGCCAGACTGCAAACCATACAACTGTGTAAATGCTCGACGCATTCCAATACACATCCGCCTCAAGGTTCGTACCGAGCTGGAGCGTATGGAAAAAGCAGGTGTCATCACAAAAGTCGAGCAGCCGACCGACTAGTGTTCACCCCTCGTGTCGGTCCTCAAGCCGAACGGCAACGTGCGTGTATGCGTAGACCTCAAGCGCCTGAATGCCAGCGTCAAGAGAGAGCACTACCCGTTACCGACCGTGGATGACACGCTCGCACAACTCAACGGTTCTACCATATTCTCTACGCTGGACACCACGTCTGGCTTCTGGCAGATCCCACTCTCCGAGGAAGCGTCGTTGCTGACGACGTTTATCACTCCCTATGGCCGCTTCAAGTTCGAGCGCCTTCCCTTCGGCATAACGAGCGCGCCTGAGATATTCCAGCGCCGGCTACAAGGTCTACTCAGCGATATTCCCAACGTAGCAGTGTTCATAGACAACATCATCGTCTATGCTTCATCGATGGCTGAGCATGATGCTGCTCTGCTCGCCGTCGAGAACCGACTCCGTGATGCCGGTCTGACACTGAATCCGAACAAGTCTAAGTTCAGATGCACGTCCCTAAAGTACCTGGGCCATCGGATCAGCGACAAGGGTGTCCACCCTGACCCAGTCAAGCTGGATGCCATTGAGCGCCTTGCAGCACCAGCTGATGTGGAAGAGCTCCGTCGTGCACTTGGACTCTTCACGTACCTCTCCAAGTTTCTGCCGTCATTGTCGACCGTAGCCGCCCCACTGCGCGAGCTACTCCGGTGCGACGCGACGTGGCAATGGACCAAAGCACATGAGCTAGCTTTCACAGAGCTCAAACGCCTAGCTGCCGCAGCCCCGTGTCTCGCGTACTACGACCCGTCTGCACCGACCATCGTCACGGCTGATGCGAGCAGCTATGGATTGGGTGCTGCACTGCTACAGTTCCACGACAATGAGTGGAAGCCGGTCGCGTACGCCTCACGCACCATGACAGCAGCAGAGAAACGGTATGCCCAGATCGAGAAAGAGCTCCTCGCCTCGGTCTGGAGATGTGAACACTTCCATCAATACCTCTACGGAGCGCCCCGATTTACCATTCAAACGGACCACAAGCCGCTGGTCCCACTAATGAACACGCGTGACCTCGACCGAGTACCTCTACGCTGCCAACGTCTACTGATCAGACTCATGCGCTATGATGTACAGGCGGAGTATGTGCCTGGCAAGAACATGGTTCTCGCCGACACGCTGTCCAGAGCTCCTCTTCCTGACACGCCAGCAACCGAATCCGACCTACACAGTGACTCGGAAGCCACCATCGCCGCTGTCCTGTCGTCTCTATGCAGTCCTACCAAGCAACACGCTCTCGTTACAGCCACTGCTGACGATCCAGTCCTGCAACAAGTAATCCAGCATACCCTCCATGGCTGGCCGACCAAGGTCAACGCAGACCTGGAAGCCTACCGCAACGAACGTGGCTCGCTCTCAGTTCACGACGGTCTGCTGTACCACGGATTTCGGATCGTAGTCCCGGCATCCGAGCGCAAAGCTACACTTGCCACTTTGCATGACGGCCACCAAGGCATAACCAAGTGCCTGGCCCGTGCGAAGTCCTCCGTCTGGTGGCCAGGTATCACACGTGCCATTTCAGAATGCGTGCAGAACTGCCTGACCTGCACCAAGCATCGTTTTCAGCCGCCAGAGCCTCTGTCTCCAACTGCGTTTCCCTCTTTGCCATGGGAGAGAATAGGAGTCGACCTCTGCCAACATGACGGTCAGGAGTACCTCATTGCTGTCGACTACTTCTCCAGGTACATTCACGCCATCCCGCTACGGAAGACTACCTCTGGAGCCGTCATCAAGGAACTCCACGAGCTGTTCGCCATCCATGGCATCCCTCAAGTCCTTGTGTCGGACAACGGTCCACAGTTCGCAAGTGCTGAATTCGCCGCATTCACAGCCCAAATGCAGCTCACCCACCGCACCAGTAGCCCGCACTACCCACAGAGCAACGGTGAAGCTGAGCGAGCGGTTCGAACATTCAAGCGTCTCCTGAAGACCAACAACAGCCTCAACGATGCCTTACTCAACTACAGGTCAACACCCCTCGCAAATGGCTACTCGCCAGCCGAGCTCCTGTTTGGTTGTCGTCTACGCACACACCTCCCATGTACAGCGGAATCCCTCGCTCCAAGTTGGCCTGATATTTCCAAGCTAAGGAAGTTCGAGGTGAGGCAGAAAGACCGACAGAGTGAGACGTACGACTCGTCACACCGAGCACAATCTCTGCCACCATTGACCCAAGGCGACCGAGTCTGGGTGCAAGATCTCGCTTCCGAAGCCGTGATTGCAGACCGTGTCTCCGACAGATCCTATATTGTCACGACCGACAACCTGTCCGAGTACCGCCGCAACCGTCGCCACGTCAAGTTGCTACCTGATGTGCAACCAACACCAACACCGCAGTTGTATGTCACTACATCTGCAGAACCTCCATCCGCTGATGTCGAGTTCCAGCCTACCTTGCGCCGATCAGCACGTCCATCCCGGCCGCTGAACAGACTCGACCTGTAAACGCATTAGTCATTGCTCATGCTCACTCCAGTCGCTGACACTGATGACCGTGAACTGCATGTAGTATTTGTCTGTCTCTACCCTATCTCCTCTGTATGTATAATATTCTTCGAGCTGTTACCTCTGTAACCTCTCTCTCTTCGAACATAAAAAGGGAGATGTTGTGGTCCCGTTGTTGTACCCGATCCGGTCTGGGATCGGTTACCCATATGCATTCCCGTACTGTGTACATATATGGATCCTGGTTGTGCATCTTTATCTTTCCTTGTTCTATGTAAATAAACTTTAGTTGTTGTCTGGGACTTGTGGAGTGAAGTTGATCTATGGAGTGCAGGAACTAACTTGATGTTCACTCAGGAACATTACAGCTTCCTACTTATGTTTTGCTCCCACATCATACACTATTGTGCAGCCTACTCCCGGAAAGTCCTTCCTTCGAATACAAATGACGGTTTCTAGAGGTCGTCCAGCTAAGACATTTTGCTCTGCAGCATGGTTCTGCACTGGCAGAAACGTCACATCTCGGACATTGAGCCTGCTCATGCTCCTCTGAGTCATGGTTAGGTACTAATGATTCCAAGCCATAGAACTCATCTGCTGATGGTTGAACACGCACCCATTTGTTTGAGGAGATTCTGCTAACTCCTATCGCAGTGTGTGTGTGTGTGTGTGGGGGGGGGGGGGGATCTAAGAATTATATTGAAACTTTCAGGTATCAATTACTGGTCTTAGCTTTGGCCACCCATGTCATGAAGAAGAAGAGAAGAAAACACAAGGTCACGTAACCTTCTAGTCAGTACGCCTTACTCCCACATCACAATATCCACTGCAATGCCAGCCGACAATGACCTGAGTTTGCCGGCGGAGGGCTGCACGAATGGTGTGACCTGTATAGTAGAACATACACGCTCCACATACGGACAAGCAAAGGCAAGTACGTTCTCGTATGCTCTCATGGACTCACAGCTCACCCACCATGGCATTTCCACACATCAGCAGAACAGACACAGAACACGGCTGTTTTTTTGTGCGATTTCACGCCACTTAACAATATGGCCGCCGAAAGTCTCGATTGGGCTTCAATGGCAAGAACATTTGAATTTTCAAATCGTCAGAACACGAGTAGGCCATGGTTTCCACTGGATTTTGGAGACTAGTCAGCCCGGACAGCCCGGGGAACACGCTGATCATCTGCGTCTTGTTTCAAGCTTTCCGCTCGTACCTCACATGACTGCCTTTCCTTCAAGAAACATTTGTTCTGTGTCGTGCGACTTTGGCTTCGTTCTGGAATACTCCTTGTGTCGTTGCTGACAAACTCGGCTCCGAGAAGCCCTTCCCGATTTTTTCCCAGCTTAGATCGATTTTTTCCCAGGTAGAGGACTATCCTCTGGCTGTCTTCCCCAAGTGTCATTAGAATACGCGCGTGAACTTCTAAATACGCGCGACGAGTCAGGAGCCTGTTTTCTCTTGATTTGGAAGACAAAATGGTGTGGCCCTTTAGTTGCTGTTGAGTGTAGAAGGCTGCTTCCTGCTGTAAATTGCTTAGTCGGCATGTGGGTATTGTAGAAGAAGACAGCAGCCGGCCAAGTGAGCTTGAAATTGTGATATCTACCCTATTGTGCGTTGAACGATTACGAAATGTCTAACTTGAATGTTGTACACGCGAGCACGCCAAGCAGAGGCTGACAATCACTGGCGAGATCAATCTTCAGACTGCCAGGAGTACTTCGAGCAAGTTTGAACTTTGAAGCGGAAAGACAGCTAACTGGGCAGGCCAGGACGCCTTTCCACCCTCTTTCTCTCTCAAATTGCCGAAAAGTCGAGTATCTCGCTCGAGCGCTTTCACAACTTTTCTCTTGGTTTCGCGTCCCAAATCGTGGAACCACGCGAGGATCGACATGAGTTTCTTGCAAAAACGCAAACTCATCGCGTATTTGTACTATTCGCACAATATTACATAAATCGCACCGAACGACGCCATATTGATAAGTGCCTGCACGTGAACAGCCGTGAGAATGTGAGCATGGCGATTGCTAGGCAGCGTCACATAACACCATAAAACACCAAATGAAGCCTGGCATCCATGAGATTTTTGTAACTGCTGGATGTGTGTTGGTCGACAGGTGACTGCCTGTCATGCACTCGGGAGTTCATGCATCCATAGATAGTGACATGTTGGAGTTGCCATAGTTACTCAAGAGGGTTACAGTGCATCAAGCGAAGGACTAAAGGGACCGTCACTTAATTTTTGCCGACTACCCGCCAAGAAAATCTTTTCATTTCACGTGTCAGACACGTCCGCGAGCGCGTCCGACTCGCGCGCGCGCGCGCCCGCGCTACCTTTCACGTCAGGCAATCTGTTCACGCCACATGGCTGGATAGCGCGTACATGCAAACATGATTGAAGACTTGCAAAATCAATTTTTTTCCAAGTCCAGGTGCTAGGCGCTAGGCCTAGGCAGTACTAATGTCAGGCTAATGCCCAGGCAGCTGACTTTATTTTCGGAGAAACACTACTCATTGTAGTAAAAAGTAACAATGAATAGCGATATCATCTAGGAGGGATCGCTACCCTAACGCGAAGGAAAGGCCTTGCGCGGCTGCTCTACGAAGTGTTGAAGAAAGACTCATCAAAGTTAGTTGGTGGACGAACAACTCGCTGGCGCCGGAAAACTTGGCCCCCAACGAGTCGATGGTGTTTGGTGAATCATCAAGCATAATGTCTTGTAGCAGTGTTCACCGAGGAAGGAGAACGCTCTAGTCGCTGCTGTTGTCCGTTCCATCCACGCTGGGCGTTAGCTGCACCGCGCCTATTGTGTTTTAGTATTCCATGGACACACATTAGCATTCAGAGCGATTGTGGAGCCACAATTTACTTCACACAGCGTTGTATTGTCCACGAGCGCAAACTTCATTATCAGCAGTAACTGTTACTCTTCATCCTACATGTAGACTTGGAGTATACACGGCCTTGTCACGACAGCGACAGCTCTACAGAGTGTTCAAGTGAGAAACATTAATTTCTATTGTTGGTGGATGAATAAATGGCTGGTTCCGAAAAAACGCGGCATGCACCGATGGTGTTTGGTGGATCATCAAACAGGGTGACCAGCAGTGTTCACCGAGGAAGGAGAATGCACTCGCCACCACTCCGATTCATCCAAGTGGGCGTTAGCTGCGCCGCGCCTATTGTGTTTTAGTATTCCATGGACGTACACTAGCGTAATTTTTCTAGCGTTCTCAGCGATTGTGGAGCCACAACATATCTTCATGCGGCGTTGCACTGTCCAAGAGCAGAAACGTCAGCAGTGACCCATCATCATACATGTAGATTTGGAGCATACACACCATGCGCCAATGGGCCTTGGCACAACAGCGGCAGTCTACGGAGAGTTCAAGTGAGAAACATTTGTTTCGACTTTTGGTGGACGAACAAATCGTCGGTGCCGTAAAACGTGGCCTGCGCCGATGGTGCTTGAAACATCAAACATGGTATGTTGTGACTGTCAGTGTTGATCAAGGAAGGAGAACACTCAGGCCGTCGACCGTTCATCCTTTTCGTTAGCTGCACTAAGTCTATTGTGTCCTTGTATTCCATGGGCACACAATCATGAAGCATGGCGTCTGAGCTGTGTTCACAGAGCGGGGAGATGCTCTTGCTGCTATCTTATCTGTCCTGTGTATTCCCAAGTGCCGAAGGCTCACAACGATGGTGTTGGACAAGTCAGATAAAATAGAGTCAACGTAAGTACGCATGTGTACTCTTACTGACTGAAACATAAGTGGGGTGTAAGAGCTAATTCAAATGGTGTCGTGACATTCTCATGTACGAGGTTAGTGTGTAGTACTTGTTACGTACTGAATTCTGTGACTTTGTTTTGTCTCCATATACTGCATGCATTCACGTTTCACAGTTATCAGTTTGACCCTGAGTTCATGTCTGTTATCCCGTGTCTCCTCTACTTATTTTTGTTTCCACACGGTTCATGGTGTAGCGCTGCACGTGTTCCGTCAGTTTGAACTTCAGCATAAATCGCAACTACTTGTACTTTCAGACATGTCACGTGATTGTTGCCAGGGTTTGAGCCAATCAGAGCGTTTACAGGCAGGGCCTGAACCCCTGATCATGCCTTGCCTGCCAGCTCTACTACGATATTATATGTCACTTACCCGCGCGCGCACGGTTCTCCTGCGCTTGGGCTTGCTTTCCCTTGGTAGTTGGAAGTCAGTGGCTGTTTTAGTGGCTGTTAGCAGTATGAGAGGGTGTGCATTCTGCGGCGGATCTCACCTGGACAAGAGCTGCGCGAAATACGCAACAGTAGCACAGCGGAAAGAATAACTGATTGAACAGAAGCGTTGCTTTGTGTGTTTGCGCACAGGGCACCGGTCAACTCAGTGCAAGGCCACCCGCAAGTGTAATGTGTGTTCTCGCATGGGTCACCAATCAGAGTCACCATCATGTCACGATCTGCCCTGAATCTCAACAGAAATCTGACAGCAGTACCAACATAGTAGCTGACCAGCCTGTGGCTGACGAGGTACCAGCATCTAGCGCAACAGCAGCTAGTGCAGCATCAACCAGTATCGCCATTGACCGTAAGATAGTCAGTCGTCTTGATCGGTGCAGATTTCCTCTGGGAGTCTTGACGGGGAGCACCAGAGGACTTCCGCCAGGACTACAGTTTCTGCCTACCACAGTCGGTTTTGTGGTGACTGGCCGAACACGTCACTCCAAGCACTCAGCTACGCCGATGAGCAGCCATGCCAGCTATCGTTTCTCTAACTGATGCAACTTCCGACTCCTGCACCATCATCCCAGATCTGTGGGACCTAGACTGTGTTGACATCCAGGATTCAGGCAATCTTACTAACAACGACCTAGCCATTAGGCAATTCATCATTGTTCTACGATTTTGCCTGCCACCAATCGTCATGACCTGCGATACTGAGAAGGCCATTTTACAAATCAGTGCCAACCCAGCATACAGAGATGCGACACG